CTTCACTCCCTTTAAACAGTCAGGAAAAAAACCATTAAAGTTTTTCAGTTTACATCAGTGAGTATTCAAGTGTGATAACAAAGCTGCCAAAAATGCTTTTAGTGGATTGCAAACTACGTTGATAAATAAAGCTAGAGTTGGCCTGAGAAATACCAGGTGCAAGTGAAAAATGCTGCATTGTGAAAGAAAACTGTTTGGACTGAGTGGAGCGGTGCTGAACTCAGAAAACACAAAGGCTGAAAGTAGACGAAAAGAATGTTGAAGGAGGTCATTCTTGTTCAGAATTGGCTAGTCTGGATGATGCTTTGCCTCTTCAAAGTCCTGGATTAGTGACTGTTTCAGATATATTTCAAGCGATGCATGCAAAACGTATGCATTTTATATGTATGTATAGATGAATGAATGTATCTATGTTTGTGTGTATGTGTAAGTGTGTGCGTCTGTTCTGGTATTTCAACTTGGCAACCAAGCAAGCTTCGGCGCTGAAAATTTGCCAGTGCGCTCCCTGCCAAGCGTCGCCTGAGGACTGCAGTACCAACCTTCACGTATGTCTGAGCCCGCGTACGAGCACATGAAAGTTTTGGTGGAAAAACTGCTAACTCAACAATCAGAAAAGCTAAAACCACGAAATTTTAGGAGGTTATTCCCCGTCCAAGTACAACTTGTTGACTTTAAATTCAACCCCGGGTATGCGCAGTTTTCACGTATGAATACGTAAAAATTCTGGTGGGATAATTGCTCTCTGAAGAGCTAGATCATTTTCAAGGAACAACCGTTAAAAGTGAATTGTTCTTTTTCCTCTGTCCGATACTTATGATGATTTACACTAGTAAGCGTATAAAGTAAGTGTAAAGCAGCAATCATTCATAATAACTAGGTGTTTGTTTGATTCAGGTTTAGTGCAAAAGTACCGACAAGCCTAAGGCGCCCCATGCTACAGTTTAGAATACATCTGTGACACATTTTTGGTCAAAACTTACAGCTTTTAGTTAAACCCAGCACTTCATTTTTTTGACTTTAGGCTGCTCTGCAAATGATGTGATGGAATAAAGGGCTGATCTTTTTTTATCGGAGGGGACCGCATTTTCTTCGGTGTGGGACCGATTCTTTTTTTTTTATCTGTAGGGAATCAGTCCCATTTTTTTTGGCAGGGATCGATTTATTGGCATCAGCGGGGATTCCCTTCTTAGCCGCCAGAGGCCGTTCCCCGGCTTTATCACAACGTTTTTTTATTTTCAAGGGGTCATTTCCTTTTTTACTGGTGGGAGAACGATCCCTTTTTATCGACGAGAGACCGTCTCATTTTTTATCGGGTGGGGATCGATCCTCTCCTCTCTGTGGGGACTGATATTTTTTTATTGGGAAGAGTGGTCCTCTTTTAGGGGGGAAACCCTTTTTACGCGATATTACATTTTTTACAAATTAATGGTGTGTCTGTCTGTTTCTCTGTCCAGGTATTTCATCTCTGCATGCAAGTAAGTTTTGACGTGGAATTTTCGTCGGTGGATTTCCTGGCGAATTGCTTCCCCAGGAAGGTGGTATGAAATTTCACGCACGCCTAAGCCTCAAGGTACAGACACATGAAATTTTGGTAGGAAAATTTTCAGCTCGGGAATCGGAAAAGCTGGAAGGCTGAAGTTTTAAGGTGATTTTAGGGCTTTTTAGATTCTATGTAAGTATAATTTAAAGTTTTCAAATTCACTTCCTAAGTACGTTTGGTTCTTACATACCGGCGCACGAAAATTTTAGCGGAAAATTTTGCAACTCGAGAACCAGGAAAGCCAGAAAGCTGAAATTTTGAGAGGATGTTTTCTGCTCGTATGTGATGCAGTGATTTCAAATTCACAGCATCACATACGAGCAGAAAACATCCTCTGGTTCATAAGTGCGAAATGTGAAATTTTTGCTGAGGGAACTGTTAACTCGGGAATCAGAAACCCACACTTTTGTTCTGTTTGTTTTACAGCTAAGGGATGAAAAACCGCCTGTCTTTCTAAGCGTTAAACACGTCATCTGGTATGCACTTCTTCCATTTTCTAAATTCTATATTTCAAAATCGACAAAAAAAGGAAGAGCTTTTTCAAATATTTTTTTCTTAGTTTTTTTTTTTTTTGTAAGCAATATTCGAGCTACGTTCGTTTTACGTCATATTTTCCGCTCACATTTTCGTTCAACTGCATTCACTGAAGGGTCAAAAAATGAAGTGTTTAAAGCGGACCTTTAAATCGTCCAGATCAATCGTTGCTGCTGTGACTATGAGGTAAATTGCATTATGTACA